GGCTCAGCTCTGGACCCACAAGGACAGGAAGGGTCTCGGGTAAGGCAGCCCAAGTGCAACGCTTCCCACCCAGCCCAAAAAGACCCCAGTGGACTCTGGGCTTGTTGACAAAGTGGCAGGAGCAAACCAGAATCCCCCCACTCTTGTCCCAGGGAGACCCTTTGTGTGCACTGACTGCAGCAGGACATTTATGCAGGCCAAATATCTCATCTTGCATTGGAAGAGCCATCGATGAGGACGGGGCCTCTGCATGGGATGAGACAAGAGTTCGAAAGCACAGATGGGACCTTTCGGAGGCACCACCTCTGATATGGGCTGGGCGGACAGCAGGCTTGCAGAAGGGGGATTGGCGGAAGGGTCTAACTGGCAGGAACTTTGGCACAATTTGAAGGTGGACGGCACAAGTGCCTTTCTTGCTCTTCCACCTTTCCATGGCCAGAGGATGTGGCGAAAAACTTCGTTTTAAGACCGAGTTCCCCAAACTTTCCCGCATTGTGAACTGGCTGGAGGAGGGGGGGGGGCAGAGGGGGTGGCCCATCAGCCTGTTTGCCACCAGGAGATGCCTGAGCCCATCGCTGCTCTGGCTCTGGGGTCCTGTCGCCATTGAGGAGGTGAATCCTGACCGTGAAAGGCCATCGAGACTGGGAATGCTAGACAGTCCATCTCTCTCCTCGATTTGTCCCTTTCAGGAAACACTTCTCGACTCCGAAGCTGCATGGACTCTGACTCCCAGAATTCCCCATGCAGCATGGAATTCTGGGAGTCAAAGTCCACGCATCTTTAAGGGGCAACAGTGGAGAAACCGTGATTTTAACTCAGATATCAAAGGTTCACTGGTGCATCAGGTAGAATAGTGGGGTGGCCTAGAGGTGGAGTTCTCGCCTCACAATCAGGAGGCTGTGAGTTCGATCCTAGGTAGAGGCTTATAATTCTCTGGACATAATGAGAATATATCTGCTGCAAAAACCAGCATTAGCGACAGGAAGGGCATCCACATAACACCTATCCTCCGCGAGCTGCGCTGGCTACCTGTCGATCTCCGGGTGCGCTTCAAGGTGCTACTTACCACCCATAAAGCCCTTCATGGTAGTGGATCTGGATACTTGAGAGACCGCCTCCTGCCAATTACCTCCTTGCGACCCATTAGATCACACAGATTAGGCCTCCTCTGAGTTCCATCTGCCAGTCAGTGTCGACTGGCAACTACGCGGAGGAGAGCCTTCTCGGTAGTAGCTCTGACCCTTTGGAACGATCTCCCTGTGGAGATTTGTACCCTCACCACCCTCCAGACCTTCCGCACAGCCCTTAAAATCTGGCTATCCCGTCAGGCCTGGGGTTAAAGAATGTAACTCACCCCCACCCGAATGGTATGAATGTTATGCTCTATTTTAATTATGTATCGCTCTTATGTGTTATTGTTTGTTATTGTTTGTATTCCCCCTCCCCATGAGTTGTGAGCCGCCCTGAGTCCCCCCAGGGAAAAGGGCGGCCTATAAATAAATTTCAAATACAAATACAAATCAAATACATCCGGACAGTAAATATGCATCTTCATTCAGTTGCCCCAACTCCACCCCACAAGGGATTACGGGGGTCATTAAATGATGAACAACAACTGATGCATTAGGTAGAGAAATGGCAATGGAGTCCTGCCCCAGGACAGGGGTGGACTAGATGACCTTTGAGTTCCTTCCAACTCTTAGGTTCCCCATTGTGTCCTTGGTGCCAGGTGTGAATAAACACAGAATTTGCAACGGGAATCTATTTTTCAGGGTCTCATAATGTTCTATCAGCTGCTCTTTTGGTGTAAAAAAAAGATTTATTTGTTTTGGGGCACAATCTAATGAATATTTGTTTGTTTAAAATAAATCTGCATATATGAATAATAGTCGGGAGTTTTGTAAGTGCTCTCAAACAATGTTTCTCAACCTTGGTAACTTTTAAGATGGGTGGACTTCAACTCCCAGAATTCTCTACAAAGCCGTGCTGGCTGGGGAATTCTGGAAACTGAAGTCCATCTTGCCTTCAAAGTTTCCAAGGTTGAGAAACGTTGTCTAGACTCTAGAATGTTGTTGAGTTGGGGGTTGCAAACACCGTTATAACACACATAAAGCAAATTACAAAAGTCTGCTTGATATTAAAAAGAAAAAAAAGTTTGGAATTCGGAGACAATAAATTTTTGTTAACTTCTGTTCGGAACTAATTTTTTGCCGATTTGCCTTCAGTTTAAAAAAGAAAAAAAAACAGCTTGTCACCCATTGAACATTATAATGCAGTTAGTGTAATGACGTAACAACCACAATTGAGCTGCAGATTTCTGCCGCTCAGCGAGACGGTTTGCAAAAAGGTTTGTCTTCCTTGCCACCGTTGTTAAGTGAATCACCACATTTGTTAAGGGAATCAGACAGTTGTGCATAGATGTACAGACGATGAATGGATGTAGATAGGTGATGATTGGATGGATAGATGGAGGGAGGGATAATCGGATGGACGGATGGATAGGTAAAAGAGAAATTGATGGAGGAACAGATGGAAGGAGTGATGGGTAGATTATGGAATGAATAGATAATAGGTATATAATAGATACATATATATGTACATGGGTGGATAGTTCGATGGTTAGATAAATAGATGATATATAGATTTATATAGAAGAGATAGATGATAGGATAGAGAAGTAGGTAGATAGGCAGTATGAGAGAATAAGTGATAGGAAGCACACAAAGGAGAGATGGAAGGAGGGATGAATTGGGGGAATGGATGGATGGATCAACAGGTAGATAATGATGGATGAATAGAGAGACGAGATAGATAGAAGAGAGGGAGATTGAGAGAGAAATAAGACAAGAGAGTCAAAGGAGGGATGGAAGGAGGAATAAATTGAATGGATGGATCAACTGTAATTTAGTAGGGAGATGGATAGAGAGACCGATGATAAATATCGGTAAGGAGGTATAGCTAGACAGAGACAGACAGAAGACAGACAAAGATGGAAGGAGGGATGAATTGGCTGGATGGATGGAGAGACATGATAGAAATAAGAAAGATAAGAAACACAAAGAAGGATGGATGGGTTGATAGTAGATTAGTTGAGATAATAGATGGACAGAGAGGCAGACAAATAAAAATTTGTGTTGTGGCTGTGAAGAGAACGACGCAAACCTGAGTGTGCCAATGAAGTTGTGCAATTATCACTGTGATGCAGAATGGGGCTGCCCTTGTGTCTATCTGTGCAAAAGCAACACACCGACATACATACACGTCCACATCCACTACAGAAATCAGTCTTTGAACACTTTATTGGCATCCAGTCAGAAGAACCATTTCCATCTGTAAAGTCAGAGTCCTCCAGGCGCCCAGACCGAGAGGGCCCAGGGGCTCCAAGCCTCTACACCCCTGCCTCTTATTCTCCAAAAGCAGGGGAGTTCTGGGAAATTCCAAAGCTTTTCCCTCTCAGCGCCGCTGTTGCCCTAATGCAGCTTCTGGGCTTCATCCAGCGGTCTTCCACGGGGTGGTTGCTGGCCAAGGAGGGCTTCAGACGGAACACTACCCCAAGGTTGAGGTTCCGCAGACGCTCCCCAGAGAAGAGCGACGGCTTCAGGTGCTGCCATCCTGGCACTAAGCGACCTCCGTCACGCCGATTTGCTGTGCGGTGTCGTCCTAAGCCGGGTCACCGTGTCCTTCGGGACGTTAGAAGAAGACCTTCCGTTCAGGCCCTCTGACCCCTAACATCCCCTTTCCCCCAACTGGTAAGCCTTAAGTCCCCCCAACATCGTTGATCATGTTACTCCTTCTCTACAGGGGTACGTCACCTGTACAGGCCAAGGGACCAATGTCACCTCTTCGATGTATGGTGTCCCGTACAAGTCAGGAAGAGGCCCTGAACCCCTTGTACGAGGGGTGCAGAGGCCGCCCTTCGCATTTGTCGCAGGGGAGTGACTCGCATTATATGTACGTGTGGGTGTGCCCCTCCCCCGGGAATCCCCAGGCCTTTCAGCTATCCACACATTTCTACATTCTCAAATCTGCTGTTAACCGCTATTGGCCAGGGGCCGTGGTCTAGAAACCACAATTGGATACACAGAACAAAATCACCCTTGGTGGGTAAACAGAAGCCAGGATGGGTCGAAAGGAAGGCCCCAGCTGTCCACCGCCACCTCCCTAGATTCTCTTCAGGAAGGTGGGTGGGCAGTTAAGTCCAGAAATCATTGTTCTCCCCCCCTCGTTTCTTGCTAGAAACCTGCTACTCTGCAGTTGTTCTCTGCAGGGTGCTAACTCTCAGGAGGAAAAAGGCAGGATCTCACTTCATACTACATGCCAAAAACTACGTGGTGGAGACTCTACAGGATGTCCAGAAACCCCCCAAAGCACACGCCTTGGGGGATTCCTGGACACCCGTTTCAGGATCCAGAGTGCTCCGTGGGTTCAAGGTCTACTTTGGGAGTCAGTCTTGGCAGGGTTTGCCCCTGACTAACTGCATGTCGGACAGAGCCAGGACATGGATCAGGTCCTCCAGCTGGTAGAACGTCTGGAAGGTGTTGGGCGACACCGAGTGGCACTCCAGGTAGCGCCGCAGCTTCGCCAAGCTGTCCACGACGTCGGTCTTGGAGGGACAGGCGAAGAGGCCCGATTCCTCCTTCTCCTCTTCGCCTTCTGCTCTCGCCAAGACGGGCTCTTGGGGTTGAGGGGCCTCCTTCGCTGCTTCCGCACTCTCCTGGTCTCCAAAACACTCCAGCCCTTCGTCCATCAGCACAAACTGTTCAAACTGGTCTTGATCCTTGCAGCCCAAGGCTTGGACCACTTCCAACGGAGGGGTCAGCAGACGGGGATTCACACTGAAGCCCGCCGCTTTGAAAGAGTTTGCTATGGTTTGAGGACACACCTCCGACCATGCTTGGACCACCAGGTGGACAGCATCTAGAAGGGTGAGGAACCTAGATAATTTGATGGTTGGACTGGAGACTTTGCCATGGTCCTTGACCAAGAGATGGGTCAGCATCCTTCTCCGGTAGTGGCACTTAAAATTCTGGACGACCCCTTGCTCCAGAGGAGGCAGCCAGGTGAGGTGAGGAGGCATGAAGACCATCTGGACGTTGGAGAGCTCGGCGTAAGAATGGACGCTGCACTGTGTGACAAAGAGCGCCACCCGCCTCTCCTGCTGCTTCATCTCCTCATTGAACTTCTGAAGCCACTCGGAAAAGATGGCGGGGGTCATCCAGGCCCTACTGTTCGTCTTGTAGGTTGCAGAAGACAATCCCCGAAGCCCACCAAACGGCCGTGCAGCCTTGCCCACGATCAACACATCCTTTTTATCCGAGCCATCCATGTTGGCGCAGAGCAAGACGGTCAGCTGGTCGTGGGCTTCGCTGCCTCTCCGGCCCGCCAGATCTTCGGGGGTCGCTCTAAAGAGCACCCCCGTCTCTCCGCAAGCGTAGACATTGGGAAGGTCGTAGTGGCTGAGGATACAGGGCAGTGTGGTACTTTCCCAGCGACTCTCGTCTTCATCGTCCTCTTCTTCCAGAAGTTCCCGGCTCCATTTCTCCGGGAGGGGCCTCCGGGGGACAGTTTTTGGCTTGGCCAGGGAGCTGTTCGGCCACTGGAGGGGGGTCTCCAAACCTGGTTCCCCGCCTGCGAAGGTGACTTTCTCTTGCCAAAGTTTCCCCTCAGTGGAGAATTGGTGTCCACAACTTCGTTCAAACCACTGCAAGAACGCTCGGTCGCCAACGGCCGGACCTTTGTCTTCCAGCTTCCGTTTCCGACACGGGTTGGCGTTTTTCCCCCATTCGGTCAGGATGCGTTCTTTGTTCTTGATGATACGGCAAATTTGGGGCTGGGATACCCCGAATCGCTTGGCCAGTTCACTCTGCGAGACCTTGGGCCCTTCAAGCATCTCCAGAACGCGGACTTTCTCCTGCAGAGACAGTTCCTTACGCTCTTTGCGTTGAACCACAGCTTCGCCGGACAGGGGTGGCCCCTTCCTCCGGCTCCCGGAAGGGGTGAAGGGGTGCCCCGCGGCACAAGCGCCCTGCCCTGACAGCGCCATGTGCTCCATGAAGCTCCGCCCGCAGTCGCCACAGATGTAGGAATTCTGCCCGGTGTGCTTGGACTGGTGAATTTCCAGCTCAGATTTCAGGCCGAAGCTTTTGCCGCATTCCAGGCACCAGTGGGGCAGCTCCGCCAGTTGGGGTCTGTACCCCCGAACTATAGGACTCGCTTGGTAGTCCACCAATAGGATCTCCTCATTGGCAGCCCCGGAACCCAGAAGAATGGGCTCGGGGCTGCTCGATTTCTGCTCGACCGGGTGGAGCCCGTTGCTAGCACAATGCGTGGCGGTGGCAGCTTCCAGCTGGTTAAGATGTATCTCCAGCCCGTCGTCTTCCTCCTCCTCCTCCTGCTTAATGATTTTCGGCTGCCAGCTCTCTTCTGGGGAAGCAAAAGCAGAAGAAAGTGAACTTCCTGTCCTTCTGAGAGTGGGTGAGGGGCAGAGCCTGAGGGTGTTACCTACTGTGGTCATGAAACGTCTGCATGGAAGCCACCAAGCTCAGAGAGGACCCCACAGACGTCCCCCCCTCCCCCCTCTCTCCTCTCCTCTCTGCAAACTACCCTCCTAGCACTGATGATGTTCCCTAGTTGGGTCATGAAATGTCTGAAAAAAAACCACCCAGCTCAGAGAGCATTAAGGACCCCGCAGTCGTCCTCCTCTTCCTCCTACTCCTCTTCTTCTTCTTCCACCTCCTCTTCTTCCTCCTACTCCTCCTTGCTCCACCCCCCCACTTCTAACACTGATGATGTTACCTACAATAGTTGTGTTATCAAACATTTGCAAGAACACCACCCAGCTCAGAGAGCACCAGGGACCCCACAATCCTCCTCCTCTCCACCACCCTCCCTTCCTTTTAACACTGATGCTGTTACCTAGCTGGGTCACGAAATGTCTGCAGGGAAGGCACGCAGCTCAGAGAACCCCAAAGTTCAAACTGCAAATCCTCTCTTTTCTCTCCACCATAGTCTGTCTGTCTGAACAATTTTTGTGAAGCAACAACAACAACAACAACAACAACAAAAGAAGACATTTGAAGAGTCAAATCAGCTCGGAGACCCACCAACTGCTTGGTAATCGCAGTTCTCTGGGTCCTGTTCCATCTCCTTCATCATCCTCACTGTCTCGTCGGAAGAATCGCCAAGGTCTTCTAGGGCAAGATGCTGGGACTCCTCAAGACGCCGGACAGATCTGTGAGGAACGGAAGGAGGACACCCGCAACTTTGGTCCCACAAAGTGGCAGAAGGAACAAGTCACACCAGTTGCATCCCCGAATGCCTTTCTTTACCAGTAGGCCTTGCCTTACGACCCGCAGCCCACAATTTCGGTCGTTCCACGAGGCATTCATTTCATGATTTTTTGTCTCGTGTTATGACCACTGTCATTAAGCGAATCGCTGCAGCTGTTTAGTGAGTAACACGGAGGGGATGCAAATCTGGCTTCTCCTTCAAAGGGGACACTCTCTCTCTCTCTCTCTCTCACACACACACACACAGACACACACAAAACCGGGAAGGCCGCGGCCATCATAACTATGACTTGGTCGCCGAGAGTCTGAATTTTGAATCAGGTGACTGTGGGGATGCCACAACAGTCGCAAGAGTGAAAAACGGTCGTAAGTCCCTTTTTCCCCCCCAAGCCGGTTATAACTACTAAGCAAAGTAGTTACTACCGTCGTAAGTCCAGGACTGCCTGTATTTATTTATCAGTTTGTCATGTTGAGGGGCCGCCCACCCTCATTGAGCAATTCTGGGCAATGCACAAATAAGACACACAGAGAAAAAAAAATTATGCCTGTGAGCCTCTGCTTAATAATTATTCATTTAGTGACCATTCAAAATTCAGGGGAAACCGAGAGAGGGAAAAGGCTTAGAACGGACTGCAACTTCCAGATTTCCCAGACAGGCATGGAATTCTGGGAGTTGGAGTCCATCCCTCTTAAAACATGCCTTGAACGTCCAGAATAGCAGAGCTGGAAGGGGTCTTTAGAGATCTTCTAGTCCAACCCCCTGCTCAACCAGGAGGCCCTTTTGGGCTTCCAGGCAGACAGCTGTTCCATCCCTTGTGAAAAACCTCCACTGTTGGAGCTGCCTCAGTTTCCCGAGCCGAGCCCTTCCACTTCCCCCTCCTGGGCTGGATGCTGGGATGTGGGGTGGGGGTGGGGGTGGGGAGCAGGAAGGCACTCTGCACATGCTCCGTCCTTCTCCCCAACGTGGCTCCCAGCTGCATATAACCCCTGATGTTTTCCCCCAGGTGGATGCAATGAGACCTCACCTGAGCTTCTCAACCCAGTCTCTGTGGCTGGGGATGAGGGGTTTGGTGGTCTCTCGCTTGGCCTGGTTCCCCCTCCACCTCTCCAGCTGGTTGCTCAGGGTAACGGACCCGGTCCCTTTCCGAGGATGGAGGAGGGAATGAAGGTGGAGAAAGGATGCTGGAAGCCCCAAAGAGCAGCCCTCTGGCCTGGCTCGGGTCACCGGAAGAAACGGGCAGAACAGGCCATGGGGAGGCTCGGCCCCCTCCACCCGGCCTGGCCCCCAGGACCCCTCCCCTCGCCCTGCCCAGCCTCCGCCAGGCTACATTCCCGCCACCGATTGGTCCTGCCTGCATCTCGAGCATCTCTCCCTGCCCGGGATTGGATGGGGTGCCCGCCGAGAGGCGGGGCGGGCAAACAATGGTTCATTCAGGAACCGGCAGTGCCTTCTGGGCTGGGTGGG